CTCGTCCCCCGGCCGTCCCCCCACCCCCCCCGGCGGCGTGAGGACGCCCCCATGCTTCAGCTCCCCCCCCGCCGCCACAGCCCCCCTCTGCAGCTCCCATCGCGACGCCTCGGCCTCCAGCGCCTTGAAGCGTTTCTCCAGGGCTTGAAACCGCGCCAGGAGCTGGTGCTCCCCGCTTAGCCCCTGCAACGGCAAAGGGAGGCATGGTCTGACAAAACCCCACATGCAGCACTGACCCTTGGGATCCTGCCTGCTCCAGAGGGACCGGCAAGAAATTCCCTGGGAAATGGGCATGAGATCTGCCAGTCCCAAAGGATGGATTTCATTCTTCTGCTGTTTCCCAGGGGAGGGCAGATGCTTTCCCCCACCCCGTCCAGGGATGCCCCGAGAGCCAAGGGGGCCCGACACGGCCATGGCAGGGGCTGGGCTGTGGGGCCCCAGGTGTCCCCACACAGCATCCACCCCAGGGCTCATGGACATCAGTGGAGAGCATGCTGGGGCCGCCCCAGCAGCTGCTCCCCAGCCCTTACTTGATCAAAGGTGGTCAGGTCCCGAGCTCCAGGCACATCAGCTCCCCCAGCAGCAGAGGATGAAACCTTTGCAGATCTCCACGAAAACACAGGAAAGCTGAGTGTTGACAGGCCATATGGGTAGAAATACCAAGCCCCTAGCAACACAGAGAGATGAGCTGGTTAAAGTGGTGGGCCAGTAACAGGCCATAGCAGAGTTCAAACTAGCAGTCCACCACCACTGAGGGTCATCAGGTGGCCCCCGAGGCAGGGGTGACAAAGTGCTAGGGCGTGGGGTGCCAGCAGCACCAAGCTCACGGCCCTTTGGCCCCACGCACCATCCCTCTCCACCCTCTCCACACACAGAAGTTTGGGCTCTGCCATTCACACAGCAGCAGGACGACAGCTTTCCTGAGCCCCCCAGCACCACTGCGCTGTCTTGGCACTCTTGGCAGGACAGCAAGGCTTTTGCAGGGCAGAGAAAACAGACAGCTTCCAACCCCGGCTGACTTACCATAGGCGATCGCAGCGAGGAGGAGGAGGAGCAGAAGCAGCAGCAAGGACTTCTTCAGACCCGAAGAGCGCCTGGAGAGCCGAGAAGAAAGAGGAGCCTGTATTATTGCAGCTGCCTTCTCCCATCTGCAGCCTTCCTTTGGACTGGAGCCAGAAACGGAGGTTTGGTAGGGAGAGCTCCACAAAGAATAGCCCAGCCTGGTGTTGGTGGCAAATGCCGACCCCAGCCCTGAGAGCATGCTGGGGGTCTGTGGGCCCCCCCAGGCCTCACCCACCCCTGCCTCCCCAGGGTCCCAGCACCTGCTAACCCGCACCCCTTGGGCTGGTGTCACCACCATGCTCACCTCCTCGAGGTGACCCCGTCCAGCAGGGGAGCCATGCCGGTGAGGCGGTGCCACGCAGCTCCGACCCACGAGAACAACCACCCCAGGAACCGGACTGCAAAGAGAGAGAGATCAGCCCTCATATGGGATCCCAGCAGGGACGTCCCCTCTGTCCCCCAGGCTGCTCCTGCTCTCCCAAGGGGAGGAGAGGGCAGGACAACCTGCTTTGGCAGCGCCAACTACAGGCTCACTCCTGCTCTGGCAGCAGGGCAATCCCTCTTGCTCTGTCTCAGTCTTGCAAAGAGCAGAAGACAAATGCTCTAAGGACGTACGGTCAGCTCAAATACTCACAAGCATGCACAGTGACCGTATGGCACTCTGCCCTCTTCCTCCAGTAACTCACGTTGAGGGGACAACATGGTTCAGTCCCCTCCATCCGCACCCCACCATTGGGTGCTACTAACAACCCTTATACCTGCCCAGCAGCTGCACTTGTGCTTTTACCACTCCATCCCTTGCACAGGCACAGATCCCTTCAACAGCTTTCAAAACCCTTCCGTTGATGCATGTACCTTTTTTTAAACTTCTGTTTCTTTTGCTAGGGACATTTAAGGGAGGAGAAAAACCTGTCACCTGAGCAGAGAAGACTGCATGTGGTCATGTCAGGAGGGAAGATGCCTGCAATGAAGCAAACTGCCAAGAGAAACCACCCCCCAGCCACCGCACTCACCCGGCGAGGTGACCACGTGCCAGAGGAAGGAGCCGACCCTGGAGGCTGCGCTCCTGAGCCCCGACCCAGAGCTGCTCTGGCCTGAGCAAAAGTGACCTGCAGGGAGAGGGAAAGGAGGACGAGAGGGAGTAAATCACCAAGTGGAGTCCACATCCTTGGGTGTCACCAAGGGACTCTGGCAAAAGCTGGTCTCATCTGGAAGAGCTCTCCCCCCAGCTTTCTCCCTGTCGCCACAGAGGAGCTGGCGTGTCCCTACCGGCGTAGTCATCTTCCGAGGAGTAGCCAGATGAAGAGGCATAGGTGTCGTACGTCTTGCTTTCCACCAGCCCGTTGATTTTACTGGACTCTGTATCCCCTGTGCCTCTTCTTCTCCTCATCGAGAGCTCCCCACCTGCCCCAAAAACACAGAGCCCCTCTAAGAAGCCAGCACTGCTGAGCA